AGCTGCTCGCAGACGCAGATATGCCAGGCCCAAATATGAAGGTGAAGCCTTCATCAGCATGGCCTGGACTCATTAGGTAAGACACAGTCTGCTGTTTTAGATGATATCATTCTGAGACCTGTGCTGATAGTTAGTGCTATTCATTAGCACAATGAAAAGCCTCAATATAATAGAAACATCTCAAACCTCACTGATGGAGGGTGAAAGAAAAACTACAGAAATAATACTGATTCCAGCTGAACTATGATTTCAGGTTCTTGAATTGAGTTAAAGCAAATATAATGTCTTTATTATTCCCACTAAAAGTCTATAAACTTGACATCTGATGAGTTTGATCTTCTAAGTCAGTGAAATGTCCTGGTTGGTCGTCTGTAGCCTGACAGTCCAGGATCAGGGTGAAGGTCCATCTCAAATACTGATGATGAGCAGATAAGAGGAAGAAGTGGGAGGAGAACGATAGATACAATTTGGTATGACACCAGAAACAGGAAGATTTTCCAGCATTCAGTGTCGTTCATCTTCTCAGGTGGTTTCCATGGTGACTCGGACTGACTGACAGGCTGCCGACCTCCATGATTATCCCTGTCTTTTGATGATGATCCGGATGCTGGTTGTATGAAAGATTGAGCTCTCTTCTGGCTGCTATGGTGTTGTGATCACTACACAGCTGGAAAAGGCAGCAGTTTTATTGTAAGTATTGTAAGGACAGGACCAAACAGAGAGATAATGATTCTGTTCCTTATGGGTGGCAGTAGCTCAGGAGGTAGAGGAGGTCATCTACTAACCAGAAGGTTGTTTGTTTGAACCCTGGCTGCTCCAGTCAAAACACTAACCTGAAGTTGCTCTCTGATGCAGCCATCAGAGCATTTACTACATTTTATTATTAACTTGGTGAAGGGAAGTGTGTCAGTTTTTTTTTTTTTTATTTGAACAAATTGATATATTCCTCAAATGTCTCCAAGCAAAGCTGGTTGCACTCTAGAACTTCTGGGGACCAGTAGGGTGTCAAATGTTGGATTAGAATTGAGACTAACAACTTGTTGGACTCGTGCCCTTCTGAATATAAACACATCTTTGGTAACAGGTCTCACAAGCAATAAAGAAGCATTCTTACTTCTCAAGTTGTTTTAGGTGAAGATGTTTTACTCATAAAGATGTGAAAGTATCCATTTGAGAGGAAAATGAAATGACAAGAGGAGAGTTTGAGAAACATATATTTTGGGGCCATAAAGTCCCATATAGATAAATGGAAATTGATTCTTTACCAGGGTGAGTCATTAAAAGGAGAGTAGTATCATTTATTATCTTACTCCTTGTTTTCTAGCTGCTTTTGTTTTAATTTGATTATGTATGGGTTGAGTTTTGAATTTTGCCTTCAAGTGATCATTCAAGAGTTATTGCTGTGTTCTTTTTTCTTATTCTGTCTTACTGTTTGCATGAAAGACCAAAAATAAAATAAAAGGTCAGGGTAAAAATGAAGCTTCAAGTATTTTTTTGTTATTTCCACTGTCTCACTAAGAAACTGTTTAGCCCGAACTCCATTAACTACAGTGGTTTTCTGAATGACACGGGGCTCTATATACACTGAGAACAGTGCGTGTTTATGCAGGCTTCATCTATTTAACACCTGTTAAATCAGAAAGAAGAAGGCAATGACCTGTTTTTTCTTCTGTTGAGTAACATTTTATGGGCTACCAATAAGTACTTTGTACCAGTGCTTTAAGTGGCCCAAAAGAGGTGCCGGTACTCTATTTTTTTTCCGCCTCCCCTGAGGTAACAACAACAACTATATTGAATGGGTTTTATATACAACAGTCAACAG